CTTTACTTGTTTGGCCTCATTTTCCTGTTCCTAAACATCAGCTGCCCTGGCAGCAACCCAGGGCTTGGATGTCTGGCAAGATCTCTGGGAACAGAGGAAGACAAAACATTTTGAGGGATGTGATGCTCATTTCTCCTTAACTTTGTGGCATCCGTGGATTTCTGAGGCCACTTATTTCCTGGATAGTCTGAGATCCAGAATGGAAGGGGGAATTGATGGTTTGATCACCCCAAACAAAGAAAAACCCCAGCAGGGTTTTTGTTTTTGGGGGTGGGAGTTAAAAACCCCCATGAACCCGTGTGCTTCAGTGCTGAATCATCCATAAAAATGTTCCGTGGCGTTTTCTGATCCCTCCCTTCGCTCGGCCAGGGAATCCACGGGGTGGGTGAGGGGTGAGATCTTCACTGCTGTGCCAACAGAGCAGGGCTGGGGTCAGAACCTTGGGTGCCACCTTTCCCACCCAGATCCTGCCTCACTTGGAGAGGGAACACCCAGCGTTCCGAGGAGCTTCTGGGTGGCTGGGAGAGGTCATGGCAAACTCATCATTAAAGGTGGGGAGAAAGCACAGGATGGTTTGGGTTGGAAGGGACTGCAGAGATCATCTCATTCCAACCCAGACCATGGGCAGGGACACCTCCCACTGTCCCAGGCTGCTCCAAGCTGGCCTTGGACACTTCAGGGATGAGGAGCCCCAGCTGCTGCTCAGTTTTGGTGTGTGAAGGCACTTTAATGGTCCTTCCCTGGCCAGCCTCGGGAAGACTTCCTACCTTTAACAGTGCTCTGTAACAGGGAAAAATCTGTTCCATGATCTCTTCCCTTCTCCATAAATTGATTTTTACCCCAGGGCTCAATAAAAGCTCTGGTGTCCTTGAATGTCCTTTTCCAAACCAGCTGTGCTGGAGAGGAGCAGACCTGAGCTGGAGGACTGACCTGAGCTGGTTCAAAAGGAACTCAGAGCCCTTCCCAGCTTCTCTCCATCCTTCCAAGCCATGGAAATGTCCCCCCTGTTATTCCTGATCCGGAATATGGATCCCACACAATCCTGGCCCTGAGCAGCACCTTCTGCCCACCAGAGATCTCACCACAGCCTTGGGAAAGGGAGAAAGGAGCAGGATGATTTCTTGGATTGTTGGGTTGTTGGGTTTTTTTTTGTTTTTTTCTTTTTTTTTAATAGTTGAATCTATCACACTTCCTTTTACCCCCATTTCCAAAAGTTCTGCTTTTCATGTGGGAAGTGTTGGAATTAATTTGGAAGTGTTACTGAGGAGTCCTGGTAGACACAGCTGTAAAAGCACCAGGACCTGCAAAAGCCCCCAAAGAGCTGTCAGAGCTTGGCTCTCACTGGAAAAATCTAAAATTTATATTTTATTTTTTTTATAATTTTTTTTTTTTTTTTTTTTTTTTACTTTTCCCCAAATGTGCAGAAGCTTCTTGTCATTTCTCACGATTCCAAGGCAGCTTTTTAAAATCTCAATTTGCCACGTCCTGGTGCTGTGCTCCTGCTGTGCTGCCATATGGTGCTGACCCAGGTGTCCCTGCCTGGTGCCAGCCGTGGCTTCGTAGGGAAGGAGGTGGAACCACGGAATTTTAACGAGGAATTGCCCCTCCTTCCCCAGCTCTCACCGAGGCACAGACCATCAACAGACTGAACCCTCCAAAGGTGGCATCCAGGGTGTGATTTGTCACATCAGTGCAGCCTCAATTTTCTCCCCTTGGTCTGAAAACCTCAATAATCAGCCAAAGCTCAGTGTCTGTAGCTGCTTTTTTAGGAGGGAGGAAGACGGGCCCTTCTCCCCATCCTGAAAATTCGGTTGCGTGTTTGTTTTGAGACAAAAGTTGCTAAATATTTGTCTATTGATGGCCCAGATGAACCACACAAAGAAATCCTGGATTAATATTTTTGTAGTGTTGTGGCCACTGATCTCAAGATCCTAAAAGTTCCTCCCAGTTCCCTTTAGGCTCATCTTTGCTGTTGACCAACAGACACAAGTTTAAAGCTGTTCTCTCTAAAAGCCTCTTGTCCAGCATTGGTGCCAAATCCAATTCTCATTTGTTGGGTTTAAAACTGGGAAAAAAAAAAAACAATATCAGCTTTTATGCTAAGAAAGAAAAGTTTTCCTGAGCACACAAAAATAAAATGAGATTCTGAGCTGTCACTGAAACAATGACAGAAATCCATGGCTCCTTTTGCTTTTCTGTGAGAGACTCAGTTCCCACAAGGAGTTAATCTTGGTTTGGATAAATCTGGGCATCAAAGCATTTGGTGGTGAGGCCCCTACATGGTCTGAGCTTGGTTTTGGGCTGTTCAACCTCGTTCTAAACTCTCCTACCATGAGGCTTGGCTTTGTGGGTGTCTGAAGGACCAAGCAGTGATTCCTGGAATGGTTTGGGTTGGAAGGACATTAAAGATTATCCAAGTCCAACCTCTGCCATGGGCAAGGACACCTTCCATGGGCAGGAAAATGTCCCATGGTTAGAGACACCTTCCATGGGCAGAGACACAAAAACCCCAGGTTGGAAGGATCCCCAAAGATCATCAGATCCAACAGGACAGGGCAGGCCCAAATCCCAAATCCATCTTAAACCTCTGGCCCCCATGTACAAAACCAAAACCCCCCTGTACAGCACTCACAAATTCTTCCCCCTACTCTGTGACTCCTTCTACTCTAAAATCTAAATTTTGTGATTTCTTGTTCCTCCTGCAAGGTTGGTAAATCATTCCATGGTTCAAACCCAAAATCCCAGCTGTTTCCAGCTGCTGCCAGGGTCTCAAATGCTTCTGACCTGGGCCCGGAACCTCCAAAAATGTCTGAGGGACATTTTGAGTTCCCACACCCCACAGAGCTCCCTGTCCCACCCGGGTGAGGACCTGGGGCACTGGAACCAAACTCCATTTTGATTCACTCAGATTTGCAGATGTCACCACGCTGCTGAGCAAAATTTCCCACAAATTCCCATTTTCCTTGAGAAATCCCGCCTAGAACTTGTTCAGCTGTACTATTAATAGCAAAATACTCCAAAATTAAGGTATTTCTGTTTGATCCCTCAGTAATGCCACTGATGCTTTGACTTGCTAATGTCTCTCCACGCTGCCCTAAACTCCTGCAAGCCAAACTAAACTGCTTTTCTGTGTGTTTAGAATGCATTGAGGGTTCACAATCTATTATACAAACCCTTCCTCACTGCTGCAGCTGGATTTCCTCTGATCACCTCCATTCCATCACTTCAGAAAGTATTCTTGATCCAGAGAAAAAGCCTTTCATCCCATTCTCTGATCATCTGTTTGCTCTCAGTAGGTAAAACAAAAAGCTGAGCTCCATCCCAGAAACCCTTCGTGCATTTTCCCATTTTAAATTCCCCGTCAGAGATTTCTCCCAGGATAAGCAAGCGTTAAAATCCTGGTTTAGCCCGGCTGAGGTTGGTTTTTTGGGTTTTTTTTGTCCCAATATATTGTGCTTTGCAGGGAAGGTGGTGGATGCTGGTTTCAGAATTCGATTGTTTCTGAGAGAAGATTTGATTCTGCTGGAAGTTATTGAACGTAATAACATTTTATTGCTCTTTTTAAGCAGCTCAGAGTTTCTTGCAGAGGCATTGACAGGAGGAAAAGTGAGAGGAAGAGGGGGTGGTGAGGTGAGGTGGAAAGCACAGGGCAGGAGGAAGGTGCTGGAAAAAGGCAAATGGGATTTAGGGAAGAGTTTCATTAGGAAATTAATCAAGTGTTAATGAGAAGGATTAATGTCGTTGCACTGGACTGTTTTGGAATTTTCCCTGTGGTACCTGTGGCTGATCCAGCTTCACAAAAGAGGTGAAAAGAGCTCTTGGAAAGAGCAGAAATTCCTGCAGGAGCAGAGTGAAATAAAAATATTGAGTGGTTTCTGTTAGGAAGAGGAAAGCTTGGATCTGGGCAAAGTCCAAGCTCCAGCCAGAAACAGGAGAGGAAAACTCCAGGCCAAGAATTGGTGAGGGAATTCTCCTCTCTGTACACAAAACCTAAAAAAAAAAAATTGGGTTTTGCCCAAAATGTGTGATTTTTCCCCCCCAGATTCTGGGTGTGCATCACAGTTTTTCACCAAAGTCAATGAAATTGAAATTAGGCTCCACCTGAAGCTGTGCCCAAGGCAGGTTGGTTGATTCTGGATGTTGATTCAGTTTGTGTTGCTGAATAAAACTTGATCTGTAGAAATCTAAGATTTTTTGCAGGATAGGATTAAGGTGGGGGAAAGAAAACATCTTCCAAATGTTCTGTTTCCATCAGATGGGATAGAGGCTGAATCTGCAGTGATAATGCTAAATAACCCACTTGGACTGTCCAATATCATATTAAAACATCATAAAAAGGACTTTTATATCCCATTTCTGCTGCTGTTTTAATTTAATTGGAGAAGCTTCCCTATAAACCAGCACTGATTAAACAGCTGCACCTGTGTTTATATAGTCCAACTTATTACTTTTATTTGGAATATTCATTGTGCCTCAGATGATTTCTCTGTTGTTTAATTTCTCATTTCTTTGGGAGGTTTATTTGCATTATTTCCTTTTCCCCTAGTCCAAGCTCCTTTAGGTTTTCCTTTCCTTCCTTTAGCTTTTCCTTCAAGGTTGGATGGGGCTCTGAGCAACCCGATCTTGATAAAGATGTCCCTGCCCATGGCAAAAGAGTTGGATCAGGTGAATTTAAAGGCCCTTTCCAACCCGTCCTGTGATTCCACAAATTCAAAAATACCTCCATAATCCTCATTTCTGGTTTTAATGATCAAATTCTTTGGGACCAGGGTGCTTTTCCAGAGATTATTTGTGTTACGACCCGTTTTTTGGGGGGATTCTGTGCTGTTCCACACAAGTGGAACAGCAGCTTCCAGAGTCTTTGGCTTTGGGATGTGTTTGTCCATCTCTTGCTTTAGTTCTCTGGGATGTTTGAGCTCTTTAAGTCATAACTTTTAATTTCAGCAGCTTTTCAATTTCATTAAATTCTTCATAGATTCTCCTTCCTCTTCATCACACAGGTGCTGACATGGCACATGTGGCCATCAAAACGCAAGAAACCAGTTTAAAATGAAATTAAAAAGTGACTTTCCTGCTTCAGAGCTAAAAGATCTTTGACAAGGAAGTGCTTCTGTTGTGACAGAGGGGAATAAAAACATCCCATGGTGGGAAAACACCCCAAAACCCTGAGCAAACTCAGTGCCTGCAATTCCAATTCACACCCTGAGTTCCTCTGGTCCTTACTCCATGAATTTTAAGCCAGCAGGAAGCCTGATCTTCCAGTTTATCACCCAGAAATGAAATTTAAAAAAATAAAAGGGAAGGGAAACCGTGGCTAAATCAGCGCTCCTCCAAGCCTGCAGGCTGCATGGTAATACAAATAATAAATTGGGAAATAATAAAGAGCGGAGTGGTGGTGAGGAGCTTCAGGCTGAGAACAGGATTGATAAACACAGAGTTTAACATCAAGAAAAAAAATTCCTTTGGGGCTTCAACCTTCGGTGATTGTAGAGTGTCAGGAAAGAAATTACCATTTTTGTTGTTGTTGTTTACCTCAGAAAATTTGGGAAGAGATTGAGAACAGAAAAAAGATGCTCCAAGGAGCCCTCCTGGAAAAAGTTCAAGCATTGCAAAATTCCACAGATGAATTGATTTAATTAGGCTGTATCAACAGTGCTGCTGCTGCTTCAGAGACAGACTCATAAAAGATATTAAAGATGCAGTTGGGGTGTTGCATTTTTGTTTCAAAGATGCCCACGACTCCTCAGCCATAAAGAGCTTCCCCCTATTGCTTTCCCTTTATTTTTACAGATTTAAAATGCCTTTACTGGCTGGAAATACTTAAACAGGGACAAAAACAAGGTAAAAAAAAAAAAATCCTCATTTCTGTGATGCCTAAATTATTTAGGAGGAAATTACAACCTTAAAAGATTGAGGATGGAACTGGTGTGGGGAAAATGGGATTGAGAAGAAGCAAAAAGGGGTTGTTCTCCTCTCTGCAGGATCTGTGCTGGTGCCAGTGGCCAAGGTGTCCATCCAGTTATTGTTGAATATTTGGGGTGGGAGGATCTTTCTTCAGAATCTTAGTGACCCACCAGTGATGCTGAATTCCCTGGAGTTCGTTCCACAGGGACAAGAGGGTTTTTTTGGAATTTGCAGATAAATTTTGAACCTTCATCTCTCTGCTCACAAACACAGGGATGGGTAAAACCCCTGGGGGAAGTGGGAGTGAGCTGGGTGTAGGAAATTCCAAACCTGGAAGGAAGGACTGTGAGTCATGGATAAACCTTTGCTTAACTCAAAAAAAAAAAACAAAAAACAAACTAGTGGAAAAACCATCTGGTGAAATTCAAGGTGTGTTTCAGAAAAAAAAAAAGTTGGATTTTTTCTGGATTTTATCTGAATAAACCACTTCCAGTTGATCATGGCAGTCTTTGTGAGGGAACTTCCCAAGTTTTTTTGGGTTATTGGAGACACCTTTTGTGATACGACCTTGGGAATTATCCCGTGCTGTGGTGGAAGAAGGATGGGAGAATCCTTCTTCATGCAAACTGATTGACTGTCAGAGGGAAAATGCCAGGAAAATCCAAGTTTTCCATGCTCAGCACCATGGACTTGGTATCTGCAGGCCTGAAATCTGTGACTGAAGTCAAGACTTTCCACTTCAACATGAGGGAATTCCACCTGGACATGAGGAAAATCTTTCCTGTGCAGTGGCAGAGCCCTGGAACTGATTGTCCATGGAGGGGGTGGGATCCTCTTTTCCTGGGGATATTCCAGAGTTGTCTGGATGGAATTCTGTGCCAGTGCTCTGGGGTGGCCCTGCTGGAGCAGGGAGTGGGACCAGATGATCCCACGGAGATCCTTTCCAGCCTGACCCGTGCTGGGAAGATCAGGAAACAACTTTTTCCTGTGAGAGTTCAAGGAGGTTGTGGAATTTTCATCCTTGAAGATCCCCAAAATCCACCAGGACTCCGTCTTGGACAATTCTCCAACTTCCATGCCTCGACACCAGGGTGCATTTTCCAGGTCGCCCGAACGAAATAAAGGGTTAGAGACGACAAATCAAATTTTTATATCGTTTTAATTGATGGAATGAGGAATTTTCCTTCATCACCCTGAAACCCAGCGCTGTTCAAAGTTTTTGTGCACAGCTCTTCCATGAAAATAGACAGGGATGGGACAATGCAGGGAATTCCAGGCAGTGCAGGGAATTCCACATCCTTTCCTGGGCTCTGTGTGTGCTCAGAGGGGCTGGGCAGAGCCTAATTTCTCCTCTTCTCTACCCAAAATTGTCTTATAATCACCGTGTAAAAATAAACCCCCACGCTGTACAATTACTTTGTTACGCATTTTGCTGTGCTGGTGTATTTGTTTAATTAAGTTCCTCGCTAATTAGAGCTGTGTGTACTTGTGTTAATTATTATTTGCTTAACACAATCAGCAGTGTAATTCTTTTCTGAGGAGCCACACACTTTCCAGTTTGACTGAATTACTGATTCTGTGGGCTCTCCAAAAAGAATAGTTGCTCCATTTTTGTCAAATGAGAGGTTGCATTCTTTAATGTGAATGAAATTCAATTTAGATTACCTGAAACTTCACATAATATATTGTATTTTTAATTGGTGATTAAGCAAAGAAAGAAAAAGCTGGTTTGATTTGTACCTCGGCACAAAGATGTCTATTTTTTATGACTGGATTACAAAATTGGACAGCTCTGCTATTTATCACCCTCCGAGACCTTTTTCTGTCTGACAAAGAAAAAGTAGATTTGTCTTCAGGCTTTGGAAAGAAACTGCTTTCTCACGCTTGAAAAATGCGAACCTGTGCAACTTCTGACCTTTTACCAAGCTTTTAATTAATTTTTTTTTTAAATGCAGAGAAGCTATAAACACATTACACAGCCAGAGCCCTGTCAGGGTTTTAATGCTGCGCCCATTTCAGGGGCGAATTTCTGTTCTTAAACAGAAAGGAAAGCAGTGACATAAATAATCCTTAATCATGTTCCAGAAGGGAGTTAATAACCAAGTATTTTTATTTATCAGTAGGGTTTGTGTTCATCCACACTCCCACACCCATCTGGGTTGTGTCTCTCCCTGTCTGGGAAGTTTTAGGGCTTTGACTTCTGCAGGTTGTTGTTTATTTGAGTTGCTGATCAATTCTGCAAAACGTGTTTGGTATTTGGGGGAACCTCCGTGGATCGATGCGTTTTAGTTGGGAAAAACAGGACAGCAGGAAAAGGAGGAAGCAACTCCCACAGGAGGAGCAGGTGCAAGAAATAATTCTCCCGAAGGAAAATATAAACATGGCCAGGATTATGGAGGGAGATAGGGAGGATTTGTCCTCATCCCAGGAAGGCTGGGGATGTTTCTTTGTATTTTTCAAGAAATGTGGCATTGGATGGGAACTTCATCAGCAGAGGAGCAGAATATTAATGAGTGTGTGGGGCCTAAAAAGTCCTTCCTAAACTATGAAATGAAACCAGGCAGGAAATGCAAACTCTCCTGGAGTCCCGTGTAATCCACACATGAGCCAATCTATTAAGCATTCACTAATTGCAGTTATTTTCAACTCTGCCACAAAATCAGCGGAAAGATTTTGTTTAAAAAGACAAATCCAGAGCTTGGCTCTTGGTTATGTGCACCCAGTCGTGTCATTTTTCACCGGTGGTTTGACTTCTGCCCCGTGACTGAGTTACCTTGGGAATAGAGGAGTGACAGCAGCAGGAATTGCAAAGTGCTTCCACGGCATGGCCTGAAATGGTTTCTGAGCAAATGTTCAAAATGCACCTTGTCTGTTCATAATCGCCGTGGAAAATGTGCCGGGAAATGGGAATTTTACAGAAATGAGGGATTTGCTCCTCCACACAGAGCGATGGGCAGTGTTGGATATTGTGACTGAAAAATCACAGGAGGGGAAAAAAAAATAAAGGACGTTGAAGAATCACAGGAGAAACTACAGAGAAGTGGAAGAATCAATAATTGTGTTAATGAGAACTGCTGGAAATATCCATTAGTGGGAATCACTGCTTCAGGAATCGTTTCCAGCCATCAGTCCTGTTGCCTTCCCACACGAGGAGCATCTGAACCAATGCCTGAAATTCCCAGAACCATCATGGTTCATTAGAGGATCGGAGGATCCATTGGAGGATTCTGCTTTACCTTGATGTGTTTTTCTCTCGGGGGTTGTGTGAAGGACATCAGGTGGTGCCCTCAGTCCCTCTGCACTTCTCTTGTCCACCTGGAGAAGGAGATGAGGATATTTCACTGTATAAGCGTGAAGGGAAAGTTAAACAAAGATTCCTGCGGTGGAATTTTGCTGGTGGCACCCTCAGGAGGGAGTGATTAGTTCCAATCACTCGTTCCAATTCTGAAACGAATTCCAGAGCAGTTGGCAACAAGGTCAGAACTCCCCGTGAGCATCACAAGCATCCAGAGTGAATAAAGGGCTAAAATAGGTATCAAAGACTCATGGAATGGTGTGGGTGGGAAAGGACCTTAAAATCATCCAGTTCCACCCCCTGCCATGGGGATGGACACCTTTCATCATCCCAGGCTGCTCCAAGCCCTGTCCAACCTGGCCTTGGACATTTCCAGGGTTCCCGGGATCCACAGCTTCTCTGGGAATTCTGTCCCAAGGCTCTGCACCCTCACAGGGAAGAATTCTCTTTTACCCCCTTAAATTCATACCTGAACCCATAAATTTGTCTTCCTTTGGCAGCAAAGGGGTCGATGTCGCCAGGAATTCCACGAGGAGGTTTCCATCCCCGTCCTCTGCTCTGCTCCCCCATGCGCTTGCAGAAACAGAGCTGGATTAATTTAAGCCTGCTCTAATTAGTGAAAAGAAGACAGAACCAAGGTCTGACTGTGCAGGAGGCTGCACAAAACCCAGTTCCACGTTCGGTGTGGTTGTTTGGATGGAATTGTTTCATTGGTCACCTCCTGGTTCTGTGTTTGCATTCTAATCCTTCTCCTCAGAGCTGCCTACAGCCAGGAGGACGAAAGGAAACGCTTTTAATCCATCATTTATTCCAAACAGGAGGG